TTTTGTTGAGCACAAGGCTTTATTTTGGTAAGCTTTGTAGCTAAAGGCCCCCAAACTACAGCACCACTTAACTATAATATAATGTGTATAAATGAAAATACTATGTTGATTGTGCATCTATATAGAACCAGCAAAATGCTAATACAAAAGAAAAAGCGGGTGATACCAACTGGAAGACAGAGAAAGGGGTTTCAGAGGCAGCATCTTTTGCTCTGGGCCTTAAAAGAATTGCTACATTTGTTAATAGGCCAAAAAGTCCCCATCTGCTTGGGGAAATGAATGAATGAAACTGAGTAAATAAATGAATGGAGTGAAATAAACTGAATGAATGAAACACGGAACTATGTCCTATATACCTTTCAAGGCTCAAGATGCATTCGATACCATTATTCTAAACCCTACCAAAGGTATCTCTGATCTTGAAATTCTCCAAGATACTTCTCCCGTAATTTAAGACAGCATTCGCTGTGGCTTCACTATTATGAGATGATAGCTTAGAGTGAAACCCGTTAAATTGTAGATGAAGGCAGCATATGTAAAAGGTTAAATTTCTTAGTAGTCTTTCGTCTGTTATCTATTTAGAAACATGATAGGCATGGAAATGTGTTCTTTGTCAGCCCGGCATTGTTAGAGTAACTGCCATTCATTCACCAAATTCCTATCGTATGCATCCCTCTTAGTGAGGAATTGCATCAAACAATATGTGATTGCTGTCCTTAAGACAGTTGTGGTATAAATGGGGAAAATAAGGCATTTACATGTGAAAAGTTAATCGCAATATAAAAAACTAAAATAGATGTCATAAGTCCAGTAGGTGTCAAGTGCCAATTATGTAGTAGTAAATGATAAGGGAGTTTGGAAGAAAAAGAGAATTTTGTAAGCTGCTGTGGGGGAGGAAGGCATTTGGAAGAGGTAGAACTTGAGCTGAATCTTGAAACATGAATAGGGACTATCCCATTTGGTGGCATAAAAATGATTTCATCCATATGAGTATCCCTTCTTATCTAAACATTGGATGTGGTGTGGGTTTTCTTGTCTGCTGCTGTGGAATCTTAAGCTTTAAAGTCTATGCTTTGGTGGATACATTTTCCATTGACAAGAAGAAGGGGTGAATTTCGAAAAACCAAAACTTATTACTGTACAGATAGAGCAATAGCTAGCCAGGATTTTTATGTGCCTAGGAGAATCAGACAAAATACTAATAATTTTGTTGCTTTTGTTTTAGACAGACTACTCTGATAGTTTACATTTTGTCCTTTATGGGAATGGTTATATTTACTTTAACATTGGACCTTGGATACATTATCATCGTGTTTGTTACTGGAGGGGTCCTTGGGTAAGTATCAAATGTGTTTAGAAGGAATGATAGCATGCTGTTATAATTCTGAAGTGTTATTACTCTGGTTTTTAACTTTTTTAGTTTATCCAAAGCTTCTTTAATATGTTTAATTTTAAAGGATCCGTTCTGTGCATGGAAATGTATAATTCTAAAGAACTATAAAAATAATTTAAAATTGCTTTTTGATATTCTACATGTAAATAACAGATAAGCCTTACTTAATCCAAATAACTTTATTTGCTTACAAAGACAATTGACTTAGAAAATTAGAGGCACATTTTTCTCAGAAAAAAAACTTAGGAATTATTTTGCTTCCCAGTTCTTGTGATCTTGGGTGATTGGTCAATAACAGTTCCTTATTTTCACATAGCAACTTCAAAGTATTCACTTATTTGATCATTAATAGGCCTGAGAGGTAGAATGATCATATATCAATATGTGTTACCATTTTTTTGAGACAGAGTCTTGCTCTGTTGCCCAGGCTAGAGTGCTGTGGCGTCAGCCTAGCTCATGGCAACCTCAAACTCATGGGCTCAAGTGATCCTCTTGCCTCAGCCTCCCGAGTAACTGGGACTGTGGGCACGCACCACCACACTGGGCTAATTTTTCTATTTTTGGTAGAGACACGGTCTCGTTCTTGCTCAGGCTGGTCTTGAACTCCTGAGCTCAAGTGATCCTCCCGCCTTGGCCTCCCAGAATGCTAGGATTACAGGTGCGAGCCACCGCGCCAGGCCCCAATATATGATACTGTTCTTCTGATAATTCTTTCTATAATTCTGAATTTATTTTCTTAGTTTCTTCATGACTGGTTACCTCCCCTTGGGTTTTGAATTTGCTGTTGAAATCACTTACCCTGAATCTGAAGGCACTTCATCTGGTCTTCTTAATGCTGCTGCACAGGTAAACCTCTGATTTCTTTTAAACCTGAGAGGATTATTTTATCAAATATTTTGTGACTAGTGAGCTTGACCATGGTTTTTGTGTTAACAATTCCACTTTTCAATGAATGTTTCCAGAAGCCAAATCATATGAAGAAAATAAGTTGAGAAAAGTTCTGGTGAAAACTTTATACTTGTTTTAAAGAAGGAATCTAATAAAAATGATTTTTCTTCTTTTATTTTAGATATTTGGAATTTTGTTCACATTGGCTCAAGGAAAGCTCACATCAGACTACAGTCCTAGAGCAGGGAACATTTTCCTCTGTGTCTGGATGTTTATAGGCATCATTTTAACAGGTAAATTGGAGAATTTGCTTGACAAAAGTACTTATGTCATGTTGTCCTTATATTTAATTTTCATGTATATTGCTTCTCAGTGGCTTCGCAGAACTCAAGGGGGGAAACTAAGGTAAAAAGCAGGACATTATTTGTTTCTTCTAGGGATATAAAGCTGTTACTTCATTTTGCAGGTTTCAAATGCAATACAGTTACTCTCCATAGAAAACCAAACTGTTATAACAAAAGTGGTAAAGACCTGGAGTTGGACAGACCTGGCCTCAAATTCTGATTCTGCTGCTCACTGGCTGTGTGACTTTAGACAAGTTCTTAACCTCTCAAATTCTCCTTTCCTCATTTATATAATAGGGTATTAAAAGCCTGCTTTATAGGGTTACTATGAGGTTTTTAACTGACGTGGCTGATGAAAAGCTCCTGTTAGTGTCTGGCGCCCAGAACGTGCCTAATACATGTTAGCTATTATTATAATGTGGTAGTGGTGGTAAGAAGTTTAGTGGAGGTGGCAGAAATAGTATGTGGAATGGTTAGCTAGTGCTTACACTTCTTTGGTATGGTAATAATAAACATGGACAGGAAAGAGAATGTAAAAGGACTTTTATCTATAGTTCGCCTGTGCACATGGGTGTAACAATGGATTTGGAAGCACCATTTCCAACCCCGTGTTGACTTCTACTATCATTTCACTTTGTGAATTTCTTTCTGCATCCCTTTATCAACGTGTGGGAGAGAAGCCATGGATACGCAAAGAGGCATTACATTCAGCCCTCTCTATCCGTGGGGTTCTCATCCATGGATTCAACCAACTGCAGATTAGGGGAAAAAAAGTAGATGGTGGCATCTGTACTGAACATGTACAGACTTTTTTTTTGTCATTATTCCCTAAGCAATACAGTATAATAACTATTTACATAGCATTTACATTGGGTATTATAAGTAATCAAGAGATGGGAGGACGTGTGCCGGTTATATGTAAATATACCATTTTATATATGGAATTGACCATCCATGGATTTTGCTATCCAAAGGGGATCCTGGGACCAACTCCCCATGGATACCAAGGGATGACTGTATTTCTTTGATCTAATTATAACTTAATTTGAGGATAGAGTATATCAGAAATACATGAATCAAATCTTCTTTTTATGTTTGTTGAATATTGGGTCATTCTTTTTGAAACTTTCAATATGAAATCTTACCAGTGATAAACATTTATTTTGGATATATACGACTACCTAAGGTCACTGTCATTCATTCATTATACTGAAAGAGAGTTAATGTACCCTGTTTCCTCTAAGAAAAACATCCTACCGTGAGAGAGTTTATTCTCCTTTTCTTTTCAGTTAGTAAAATAAAACATACAAAACTGTGAAATTTGTAATACATTAACTGTTTTAATACTAATCTTTCATAAATAATTCAATATTGGTTCTTAATTTCCAGATATGGTACTTAAGTATTTAAGCACCATATCTCTGTCAAATAGAGAGTTATTGTTGTACCAAAAAAGGGAGCAATTTTGTACAACCGGTTCACATTATTTTTGTATAAGATTCATGAATGCTAATTCAAAAAAATCCAGTCTAGAAAACTATTTAAGAAGTGAAAAAATCCTTTAAAATTAGTTTTATGTTGATGCCTTTACCATCTAAAAATGCTAATTAATTTCTTTCGTATGTTGAGTATTTTCCTGGAGAGAGTTTGATGGGTTTTTCTAAAATATTGGTATCAGTAATGAAACAGAATTTAAAGGAACAGTGTGGATTTCAAAGTAAACATTAGACTTCCAGTTTCTGGTCCAGCATGTAAGAAACTTGGAAGTCACCAGGTCATACTAACAAGTAAAGAGCTGAACAAACCAAAAAAAATCAATGACTCTTCTTAGGTCCGTAAGAGAAGTGAGATCACAGAGCAAACCACTGCCTCCAAAATTGGAGAAACTAACTGGCGAATACACAGAATCACAACTTACCAGAACAGAACCCCAGGAGCTGAAACCTTTATGGGAACTAGTGCTCAGGTAGGAAACCTGAACTGTAACCAACAAATTGCTGGAAGCTTAGAGTAGACGACTCTGAGCACTAGCAGCTCTGGGGGCAGGGAGATCCAGTCATGGGGGCCCTCATACTTTGGTGAGTTTTACCTCCTGCTCCTGCAGGAGGGGAAAAGAAACCATTTTGAAATATTCTAGAGCATTAACAAGGTCTGCCCTCAGGAGAAACTAACCAAAGTCTAACTGCTGGGGTTCAGCAGAGCCTAAATGACCCAGGGGAAAGGAAATAGCCAACTCCAGCTCATTCTGTCCCACCTAAGAAGGGGCTGGGACTGAGAAGTATATGAAGTTCACAGTGGGAGGCACAGGCTCCCTAAAAGACTGAGACCTAATCACAGGACTGCAGAGCACTTCCCCTCCCCTCTACCTTACCACCATGTCACTAAAGGCCTATTTACAGCAGTTTCCTTTACCTGGCACATCATGTCTGACTGTCAAGGAAAATTTGCAAGACATACTAAAAGGCAAAAAACCCAGTTTGAAGAGAAAGAGCAAGCATCAGGACCAGACCCAGATATGGCAGGGATGCTGGAATTGTCAGACTGGGAATTTAAAACAACTATGGGTAATATGCTAAGGACTCTAATGGATAAAGTAGACAACATGCAAGAACAGATGGGCAATGTAAGCAGAGAGATGGAAATTTTAAGCAAGAACCAAAAAGAAGTGTTAAAGATCAAAAACACTGTAACAGAAACAAAGAATGCCTGTGATGGTTTCATTCGTAGACTGGACATGGCTGAGGAAAGAATTTCTGGGCTTGAGGGATATGTCAATACAAACCTCCAAAACCGAAAAGCAAAGAAAAGAAAGACTGGAAAAACAGAACAGAACAGAACATGGCACAACTACAAAAGGTTTAGCATACATGTAATGGGAATACCGGAAGGAGAAGAGCAAGAGAAAACAACAGAAGAAATATTTGAAATAAAAATGACAGAAATTCTCCAAATTTGTGTCAGATCCCAAACAACAGATATAGGAAGCTCAAAGTACATCAAGCAGGATAAATGCCAAAAAACTACACAGAGGCATATCATATTCAAACTGCAGAAAATCAAAAATAAAAAAAAAAATCTTGAAAGAAGCCAGAGGAAAAAGAAATCCACCTTATCTATAGAGGAGCATGGCCAAGAATTATGTCCAGCTTCTTCCAGAAACCATGTAAGAGGCGAGTGGAGTGAAATGATAAATGTATTGAGAGAAAAACCCACCAACCTGGAATGCTGTGCCCTGTGAAATTATCCTTCAAAGTGAAGGGAGAAAAAGAATTTCTCAGATGAAAATTGAGAGAATTTGTTGTCAGTAGACCTGCCTTGTAAGAAATGCTGAAAGAAGTTCTTCAGAGAGAAGGAAAATCTTACAGGTCAGTAACTCAGATCTACATAAAGAAAGGAAGAGCATTGGAGAAGGAATAATTGAAGGTAAAACAAAATTTTATTTTCTTTTTTTGAGTCACAGTCTTGCTCTGTCACCCCTGGTAGAGTGCAGTGGCATCATCATAGCTCACAGCAACCTCAAACTTCTGGGCTCAAGCAATCCTCTTGCCTCCCCTCCCTGGGACTACAGGCATGCACCACCATGCCCGGCTAATTTTTTCTATATAGATTTTTAGTTGTCCAGCTAATTTCTTTCTGTTTTTAGTAGAGATGGGTTCTTGCTCTTGCTCAGGCTGGTCTCGAACTCCTGAGCTCAAACGATCCACCCGCCTTGGCCTCCCAGAGTGCTAGGATTACAGGCATGAGCCACCACGCCCGGCCAATAAAGTATTTTTTAATCAAGGTATATACATTTTTTAGACATAATTCTATTGCATACTTAATAGACTACAGCGTAATGTAAACATAACTTTTATATGCACTGGGAAGCCAAAACGTGTGTGACTAACTTTATTACAATGTCTCCTTTATTGTGATGGTCTGGAGCTGAACCTACAATATCTCTGAGGAACACCTGTATTGCCTTCTGCCTAGAATGCCTTCCTCTCTCCTCTTGTCTGCTTGACAAGTTCCTACTCATTTTTCAAGTTTCAATTGAAGTATGTCTCCTCTGGCAAGGCTTCCCTAATTTCCTTTGGTTGACATAGGCATTTTTTTCTCCCACTCTCCCAGTATACTTGCACGTACCTGCATTCTTGCAATTACCGTACAGTGTTATAATCGTTTATATGTCAATGTTTGCCTGGATTGGAAAATCTGTTACGGAAAAGAATTGTGCTTTTCATCTTTGTGTCTTTGGTTCCTAGCATCCTATATTTTTCCAGTAATGAATGACTTGCTAATTGTTAACAGTTCAGAGAGGTACTATTATTTTTTCAGGCTATAAGGATGGTATTGAATATTCTGATACTATAGTGTGTTAAACTTGACAATACTGGGAAAGACTTTGAGCTTCTTAGAGAAAAATATATTCACAAACAGTTTATGGTAACTCTGTTGGTGCTTCTCTGTTTCAGCATTAATCAAGTCTGATCTGAGAAGACATAACATAAATATAGGAATTACAAACGTCGATATTAAAGCTGTAAGTAATGAATATTTTTACAATTACACTATTGAGAAAAGTGTACATAGAATATACGTGAAACTCTCTTTTTTGGAGACAGAGTCTCACTCTGTTGCCCTGAATAGAGTGCAGTGGTGTCCTCACAATTCTTCACAACCTTAAACTCATAGGCTCAAGCAATCCTCCTGCCTCAGCCTCCCGAGTAGCTGGGACTGCAGACATGTGCCACCATGGCTGGCTAATTTTTTTATTTTTAGTAGAGATGGGGCTCGCTCTTGTTCAGGCTGGTTTCGAACTCCTGACCTCAAAAAATTCTCCTGCCTAGGCCTCCCAAAGTGCTAGGATTACAGCTGTGAGCCACTGCACCTGGCCATGAAAATCTCTTAAAAAAGAAAAGGAATATATGTGAAACTGATCTTCTCTTGTGAGCTGTTTTTTTCCCCGAATCACTTGATCTTTTATAATAGCATCTGCCATATGCTATACATTTTTTTTCTGATTTTTTTTTATAGGTGCCAGTTGACAGTCCCACAGATCAAGAATCAAAAGATGTTACATTGTCCAAGCAGCCAGAATCAGCAATTTGAGGTGAAAGGAAAAGTTACTATCCTGCAGTAATTGGGATAGAGTGTGATCATCCTTGGAGAGCTATATGAGCACTGAGGTTGGGTTTATAGGTGGTAGGGAATGGATACTTACTTGAAAATTATTGTATGAACTCTAAATGGACAGATATTATTTTGCTTGTTAATGTAAGCAATATTTTGCTTAAAATACTTTTGCGCACATACTGTTAACACTACCATTTACCAAACGAATGTCCCATTTCTAGTCTTATATTGTGTGAAAGTAAGCTTATATCGTGTGAAAGTAAGCTTCTTGACATTCACTTTTCAAAAGTAAGTGTTTTCCATTTTTTTGTAGAAAATGGAAGTTTAGAAGACTTTGTAAGATGATAATATGGGGGTCGATTCCCGTAAGACACATAAGAGAATGTGAAGCTTATATATAAAAATATCCAATGGAACCAAATGTACAATATATTCCTAATTCGCTGCCTTCCCATTGTGTTGACCAACTCTGCAAGCCCCTTCAGTATGAGTACATATACCAACATGACACTACTAACCCACCAAAGGACAATACCGGGATCAGACTTCCAGATGACCTCTAAGATTTTTTCCCATTTCTTACACTCTTCTTACAAATTGCTTTGTAACATGTACTGTCAGTGGCCACAAAAAACTACTGTGCGTACAGATTCTACCCATGACTTTGGTTTTAGAATTATATTCTAATGAAGCTGTAGAGCCCAGATACAGGCTCATCATCTTGAGTTCTTTTCTGTACTGCCTTTCTAATAGGATGGAGAAATGCTAACACTGTATTTTTTTCACTCCAACTTGAAATAGAGTAGTTTATTTACTCATTGCCTTTGTTTACTCTCTTCGTTTCCATATATAACTTTAAAATAAGAAAATTTCATCATACTTGTTACTGGCTGTTTCATGATTCTTCATGTCACTTGCTATATATTACCTTGAAGATTCCTGAGATACGGAAATCTACAATAACTTCAGATAGCCTGGGTCTCCCCACTTAGTGGAGACCTCTTGAATGCTGTTGTGATTCTCCAGTGTCATTGTTATGACCACTCTCCTTGGAGGATACTATGCCAAGTGCACACTCCATCAGTGTCCTGGGAAGTAGATTCTTCACCCCACAGTGTACGTAGTCACCACACTGCTGGGACAGTCTGCTCTTCCACATGCTCAGGGGCAGGAGAATAGGACCAAATATATTTCCACAGTGCCTACCACTGTGTTCTGTTTACAGTGAGAATGTAAATGTTGTTAATGTCCTGATTCTCTAAGCTCATAGGGAATATCTTTACAGAAATGACATTTGATCAGCCATAAAATTTACATTTTGTTCATATACACCAAAAAAGCCAGATATAGTGAATACTCTTGAAGTGAAGGGTAGCAGTTTTGATTTAAGCAGAATAGATGCATTAATTTATATTGAAATTGTGGCAGTCCCTATAATCAAGTAACTATAAATTACGTAGAATCTGACCCCAGAGAATGTGTTACCAAAAGAATGGCTAAGAATCAGGAATTCTGTCTCCATGTCCTTGATGTGTTTCTATCTGTCTGTATAACTCTGGACAAGTTGTTTAATCTCTTTGGGCAGCATTTTCCTCATCCATAAAATCAATGTATTTAGTTTGATCTCAAAGCTCTTTGTAATATGTTAAATGTCATTCATCATGGACTAGACCAAACCATTGTATCACAGGAACTTAAATCTAGCTAGGGGAAAATTCCCTGGACAATCGGATAAAAAGCTATGATTGTTACTTTGTGAATACTAAGGACTTTTAATTCTCTTTTTAGCTTTATTAGTCAGTTGGAAGTAGCTCAGGCAAAATATGCCCAATCAATCATTAGCTTCTTTTAATATTTACATTACAGGTAAAAATGGCTAAAAATATATTTTAAAGTCTGTCCCAAATAATTGTTTTTATTTTTAAACTGTCAATGTTTTTTAAAATAATCATATGTTTGTTGACTTCCTGAGGTTTTGAACAAATTACAGATAAAAGTCGGAATACTTTATTTCTGAAAAGCATATACCCATGTGTCGTATATATACTGCCTTGTTGATTAGAAAAAGGGTGAAATATTATGTGATAAAATGCAAAATGAATTTTTCTGTATTTTGAGTGACAGTTGTCTATAATATGTTATACAAGACAGTCATGTGTCATTTAACAACGGAGATGCATTCTGAGAAACGTATCACTAGGTGATTTCATCATGGAGTGAACATCATAGAATGTTCTTCTACAAACCTCGATGGTATAGCCTACTACACACCCAGGCTATATGGCATCACCTTTTGCTCCCAGGCTGCACACCTGTACATGTTACTGTACTGAATATTGTAGGCAATAGTAATACAATAGTATTTGTGTATCTAAACATATTTAAACATAGAAGAGATAATGTCGTGCTATGTTGTAACAACAGCTGTGACGTCACTAGACAATAGGAATTTTTCAGCTCCATTATAATCTTATGGGACCATCATTGTATATGTGGTCCATCATTGATGGAAACGTTATGTGGCACATGACTGTATGTTTTTGGAAAATGGAGTAGGTAATCATCACTGTGTAAATTTTAATCAAATAATTTTAGGAAAGAAACTGGATGTTTCAAAAGCTGTTGCATTTATAAATGTCACAAATATAGCTTTTGCCTTTTGAGAATGTTTGAGAAATATCTTTAAAAATATGTCTGTCTGTAAAAATGTTTTGTGTGCAATAGCTAGAAGAATGCCTCTGTCATAAGTCACTATTCATGTTCTGATTTTTGCTTTGTACCGTGCTTGTTCAGTGTTTCAGATTCAAAGTAAATTTATTTTTTTATGTTAATTTTGTTTGGCTTTCTTCTTTTTTAAGTTCTGGTAGTTAGGTACACACGGGGAATGTAAAGGGATTATAAGATTTCAGAATGGGCAAGGAGGAAATGAGGCAGTTCATGGAACACAAGGAAACCAAGTCAACCAGGGTCTGGGCTAAAACAGAAAGTAAAATATTTTATTCTTTTAAAAGTAACTTCAGAGTGTGATATAAGCAAAATGGCAGAATAGGATCTGTCTATCTTCATCCTCCTGCAGAAGCATCGATTTTGACAACTGCCCTCAGAAAACAGTACTTTTGTTGAAATCTAGAAGTCCGGGGTAGAAGTTCCAGCACACTGTTGGAGCAACAGTGTCTGAGAATGGATGCATTGAAGAAGGGAAGAACTGTTTCCCTTTACCCCTGTCACCCCTCCCCAAAGGTGGCACAGCTTAGTGCCCAGAGAGACCCCTTCTCTGTAATTTTCCCCACAAGGGAAAGTGAGAGCATAGTGAGCGCTTGTCTGTGTGTGTGTGTGTGTGTGTGTGCGCGCTCGTGTGCATGTTTGGGGCAAGTGATTCCTACAGGTTTGGAGATATGGCCGAAATGAACTGGCACATCCTTGTCCTCCATCCTGAATACCCCGCCCCCAGCCATCCCCAGAAACGTCAGCAATGAGTCTGAAATAGTTCCCAGAATGACTGTTGTTCCGTCCCTGGCCACTGGGTGGCAGTGAGAAGCACTTTCCCATCTGCTCCTCATCCTGGGGCGCCCTCTGTACAGCAGGGACTGGCAGACTTGTGTGCCCCGGAATCACCTGGAGGGCATGTTCAAACACTTTGCCTTGCCTCGTACTAGCTGTGTGACTTTGGGCAGGTTACTTGGGATGGGGCTGAGAATTTGCATTCGTCACCAGTGCCTAGGGGACATAGCTGCTGCTGTCAGGGGACAGTGTCAGAGGATAAGAGCCCCTCCCAGGCTCCTGGGACTGCTCTCCTGGTCTCACAGGAAGCAGGCAGAGATGGCCATGGCCTTCCTCTCTGGAAGGCTCCTCTTCCCGCTCCCCGCCCCCGACATCCCTTGTCACTAAATCCCTAGGGCACCTGTCCACAAAGGCCTCAATGGCCAAACAATTAACCTTTCTCCAACCACAGGAGCGCGACACAGGGTAGGTGCCACTGGAGAGAGAACAGGAAGAGGAGAAAAGTAACTGGAGAAGGTCAGAGAAGCAGGAGACGGGAGGAATGAGCCCTGCGTGTGGACAGTGGTCCCAGGGCTGGCCCCAGGCAGGAGAGCCACCAGGGTGCTAGGCGCCCGAGATGGGGAGACAGCCTAGCCCGCTAAGAAGACCCCTGTAGGCTGGGCCCTATATCTCAGTCTGTCTGGGCTGCTTTCATAAAAATTCCATAAACTGGGTGGCTTATAAACAACAAACATTTATTTCTCACAGTTCTGGAGGCTAAGAAGTCCAAGATCAAGGTGCCAACAGATTCAGGGGCTGGAGAGGACCCATCCTTCATAGACAGGGACTTCTTGCTGCATCCTCTCAGGGTGGAAGGGGCTAGCCAGCTCTCTCAGATCTCTTTTAAAAGGGAATTAAACCCTCATGACCCAATCACTCCCCCAAACCCCACCTCTTTTTTTTTTTTTTTTTTTTTGAGACAGAGTCTCACTCTGTTGCCCGGGCTAGAGTGCCGTGGTGTCAGCCTCGCTCACAGTAACTTCAAACTCCTGGGCTCAAGCGATCCTCCTGCCTCAGCCTCCCGAGTAGCTGGGACTACAGGCATGCGCCACCATGCCCGGCTAATTTTTTTCTATATATTTTTAGTTGTCCAGCTAATTTCTTTCTATTTTTAGTAGAGATGGGGTCTCGCTCTTGCTCAGGCTGGTCTCGAACTCCTGAGCTCAAACGATCCTCCCGCCTCGGCCTCCCAGAGTGCTGGGATCACAGGCGTGAGCCACCACGCCTGGCCCCCACCTCTTAATACTATCACCTTGGGGATTAGGTTTCAACATCCTAACACCCCTCCTGCACTTCCTCCTGGGTAGGTACCCGTGTGGCATGCAACCGAGCTCTGGCTGGTAGAAGGTGGGTGGAAGTGACGCCATCCCCGTCCTGACCTGCAGAAGCCTTCCCTGTGACTCTGTAGTCCCTCAAGTTCTGTGCCACACGGATGTCAAAGCCCTGGGCTGCCTTGGGAGCCACACCCTGAAGATGACGGCAGCTCTGGCACCCTGAATGGTCGCAGGGAGCGGATGAATGGACCTGTACCTGTTACAGCATCTGCCATTTCCGCAACCAACATGCCAGCGCCCTGCTCTGATGGGAAATGAGAACGAGCAGATGCCACCGCGACATA